ATAYGTTTGGAAATAATTGAGCCACTCTTAGATTTCATCTTCTCAGTTTTTTTATTATGATTTTTATTAACAAAAATGAGGTCAAAGTAGAAAACATGTGAATAATAAGGTGAGGAAGTAGCACCCAGGTGATGCCATCCACAAGTGTGAGCACTTCTATCAAAACAAGAGTTTTGTCAGTTTTATTTTCCTGTACTGGAGCGTGCAGGTATGAGGTGGAACAATGTTAGAATGGAAAGACATCAGCAGTGACTTCATTGCTGCTGCTCTCCTAACAATATAAGGGGAAACACCACTGTACAGTATGAAATGACATTCATAAAAAAAAACATTTAGGAAATATGCTGGGCTGKTTTAAATAGTAACACTGTATTACTGAAGGAAACCAAACTGAGGTCATTAAAAGTTAGAGATGGTCTGTAAATGTCAGCTGACATCTAGTTAAGTCAGAATTACATTCAGAAAAATATATGTCAGAAAATATTTTTTTATTCTTTGCCAGTGTCAGAAATGTTATTTTTCATATAACAAATATTACACAGAATATGTTTTCTTGTTGCTCTGCAAACATCTGAACCTGGATTATTCTTGTTGCAAGTTGCAATCTGGCAGTGACTAACAGGGATTAACAGTGACTACAGCTGCACGCATCTATTTGTAGTTTAATAAATAACAGATCAGATCAAATCTATGAGTGCTGTTGTCTAGCTGTGATTAATAAATGGGTCCTGGCAATAAAACATTCATCTGTGCTCTCATGGGTTTTAAAGATGTTGGAGATAAAGTTAGTACAATGTAGTTACAAGATTGTTCTAAGATTGTTAACACAGGGTCACACACTCACTGATAAGTGTTATTATCTCTAATTCTCTGTATCAAAGTATCAAAGGTTTGCTTGTAAAAAATTTTTTTTTCACACTTGTCATTCACTTCTTTCTACTTTCCTTGTCAGACGTGTTTAGACTGTTTTGGTCCTCTCGCCTTGTCTGTTTGCACGTGTGCTGCAGCGCTGTAGGTGAATGAGTTAATGTTTCCACTGGTGATGAACAAAAGACCTGAATTCCCAAAGGAGCATTTTAGTTGAGAGCAGCTCGAGCACAATACTAGACGGTGAAATGGATCTTCCAACTGATCTGTTTTCAAAGCAGATTTACTTGGCGCAGCCGCATGCGTTCCCCTTTTTCTCCACCACAGATATGATGATAACAATGCAAAACTGAAATCTGCATCATGTTACTTCTTTAATATGTTGTGTTCACCTCCCCTCGTGTGCTTCTCACTGACATCGCTCAGAGATAATTTAAAAGTGGTCTGAATAGGATTACACAGTTTGAGACCTTTTTGAAGCAGCGTTACACAAGGCCTTTTTGCGACGCAAGACCCGRCTCACCCTTGGCCTAATCTACCCCTGTTCTGGTTGTGTTTGCCTTGAGCAGAGTGCTGCCTCAGTGTGGGCGGGATTATGATATTAAACAGGCACAAATCTTATTTCATTTTATTTGCAACTCCACAATAATGGACAACACTAAACTTGAAGAAAAAGTACAGAAAATTGTACCGGATTATTTAGCTGTTAAGACGAGTGAAGACAGTAAGCTAATKGTAGCTAATGTTAGCTWAWTGTTTAGTAGCTTGCTACTGTTGTTTTTTAGTTAAACTCATGTGAAACAAACGTTACAGTCGCTGMAAATGATTCAYRTAAAGTTCATCTCATCTGTGTGACATAGTCAAATCAGGTGGAACAGCCCAGCCCAGATAGAACCTAGGGTCTTGGGGTTCCAGAAATCAGGATGGAACTGGGCCATAAGGTTAMTGCAAACACACTGAACCAGAGTTTGAAGCCAGGCCGACCCGGGCCGGGCCTTGCACAAAAAGGCCCCCAGATTAGTGATATATAGTGATGATGGTCCAAGTCCTATAAATATTTTTTCACYGAGCTGAGGGAAGACTTGCCATCTTTAAGCTGGAGAATGGATGCAGTCTTATATTTTAAGGCTTGTCACATGGAAGCTATTAACATTGATTCTCTGAGTGCACCTCTTGTGAAATTGATAAAGGTCAGGCAATAACTCAGGACTCATCACACCAATTTGAAGAGGATTATTACAGCTAAATAAGAGAAAAGAAAGAAAAATCTGTTTTGTATTTGCATCTATTCCTCTGTACACAGGACAGCACATGTGATGTGGTCTGGTGTTATTCCTGGAAGATTGTTGCAACTCGGCTCGGCCCACCCCAACATTGACTCAGCTCCATGATCCAACCTCAGAATTTATATTCCCCCTCTAGCAAAAAGAAGGACCATCTTGGCCTTTCATTTTCCAGTTCAGGGCTTTTTTTTCTTTCTTTCAGATAAATGCTCTCCGGCCCACCCTGACAGATGTCACGTTGCATCACTTCCATTTTGATTCAAAGTCTCTGATCCTGCCACTTGCAATAAGGCAGMACCAGGGACACCCATCCCTAGACAATGCTCTGACACCGGTGATTATTTTGAAGGTGCTGAGCAGTGAAACCCTTTTTGCTCKACGCCATGTCCAGGTACTCTCTGCAGGAATTGTGGCACCGGCTTGTGTTTTGGTCAAGGAACAACAACAACATCACGCTGTGTATACGCAGATAATCCTGACACATGGGTGGCAATTTATGCTTCACCTCTTCACCTCCTGTGGCTGTTGTTTCTGTCCCTACACAGGTCAGACTAGGAGAAACAATCTGTATGAAGAGAAGATTTTAAAGCTGCCTGCAGGGACGCAGCACTGTAGCATTAATCATTCGTTGCCAGCGTACATCAGTAAACACAGCGTATCAGGTTAAGGTAAACATCAGGGCCCTCGTGTATCAAGGAGGGAGCAGCTTTCATACTGAAAGTTGGCGTGAGGACAAGATGTGAGAATTGTGGAGGAACACAAATATCAAAATATTTATACTTTGATACTTCAATCATTTCAGGTGATGTACATCATTAACAGGAACACAGTAAAGTAAGTAAACTTGAAATTTTGTCAAAATCAAACGCGGCTGGTGGAAACCACTTTTACTTCTGGCTTGGTAATGCGTAAGAGCAGCGGCACRTGATCAGTCTGTAGAGGTTACGTGTTCAGTATTTTCATGTTAGTATGTTCAAAACATAAACAAAAACCAACGATTTTGTTTTTCGTTCTTGATATTTAAACAAAAATGATTTTTAACAGTTTTAYTATGTTGCTTCATTTTTTGTTGTTTGAAACATTGTCAATATATCGCTATGCAGTGTTTGTAACCACTCCACTATGTGAGCAGTGCAGACTTTGTTATGTAGTGAAAAATGAAGCAAGAACATTTGTTTGTAGCTTAATGAAAAAGCCAAATAATCAAGATGAGGTCTCTGAAATGGCTCAGAGTGAAGAGACTGAAGCAACTGCAGACAGGCTGKAAACAGGYACCATGCTGACAGAAAGCACTTATATGTGATGGTAAGCTGAAAAACTCATAAACATGACTTAATATTAGCAGATTAACTTTATTTCATCAGTCTATCTACCCCAGTGTGTGTTAACCCTCTKATTAGTTGTGTATAAAAATATTAAAATAGTTGATATTTGGACATTTTGCTTCAGTAATAACCTTTTTTTATCTCTATCTAAACTTTAGTTTGATTTAAGGATAAAGTTTTGTGTTTATCACTGTAATAACACAAAAAATAGTTCTTACTGGTTTTATTAATTAAAAAAGTCTCCATTGCATTCAAAGTAAAAAACAGTGTGCTGTATGAATGCAACCATATGGTATAAGTTCATGGTTGCAACTCAAGAGTAGGTCGTGAAGTTCAGAGTGTACCCAGTTCCAAAAAGTAAACCATAGCACTGGTTGTATGAGGTTAGATGCAAATCAGTTTCATCATTTAAATTTAAACAAGAAATGCAAAAACTCCTAAGAAAACAGGTTTTAATATCTCTTGAGTCCAGAAGACTGAATGGAGTCATATTTTGGTGTGTCAATGTGCTTTAGTACTTTGGTAATGTTKACTGAAAAAGGTTGTGTGGAGGAAAGCACATTCTCACATATTTTTACGCTCACTTTCACTCAATGTTCATTTTGAAACATCCCCACGTGGAGCGTGACGTACGCTACCTTTCTGTGCGTACAGATTGTCGGTACGTAAGGCCCCAGATCCCACAGCATTTAACAAGACTCAGTAGCAAACAGGCAACCTATTGAAAAGTCAGCGTTMTTCATTTCATGTCTCCCAAGCCTCGGGTGCATGCTGAAGAGACACTCCATTGTTCTCAAAAGAGCACAATGAAATATTTTCTCTGGCTACACACAAAAAAACTGGATCAGCAGCAATTAGTAGAGTAAGAAAGAGATAAAGAGAGGAAGATAGGGAGGGCAGCCGTCGAAAAAGAATGAGGGTGGGGGCAAAAATGTAGAATCAGCGAGTGAGGAGGAAAAAAGAGGAAGGCATGAAAGCGAAGGAAGAGATAGATGACTAAGAGGAGAAGGAAGAGAGGCAGTGAGTAAAAAAAAGAAAAGAAGAGAAGTTGAGTTTTCAGCCGGTGCAGTTTGGTGTGTAGGAGGTTGGAGCCGCCTGGAGCCCCTCTTGCTTTTAAACGACCAAAGACTCGCTCATTGTCTTGGGTTTGTGAGTGTGTGTGTGAAATGTCTTCATCATTCCTTCGCATTTTTCTCTTTTCTTTTTTCTTTCCACTCTGACCCCACACTTACCCCTCACAGCTACAGCACATGCTCTCAAAAGGGACTGAATTCATTTGAAGCAGAGATTGATCAGGGCCGGGGGGTAAAGAAAAAACTAAATCAACGTGACTCGAGACCGACCTTCAGTAAACAAACTAGATGGTTACCTGTGATCACTGTTTTATCAAGAGACAGCTTTGGTTTTTATCTGTTGCCCCTGTGATGAAAACGTTTCACCTTATCCGCCCGTTCGCTAATTGTTCTGCTAATTGAGGTCAGCTGTATTGTAACTTTTTTGTCTTTTTTGTCTCTTTTTGTTTCAGAAGACAGGAAGTTGTTTGTTGGAATGCTGAACAAACAACAGACTGAGGAGGATGTTTACCGTCTCTTCGAACCCTATGGAGTCATCGAGGAGTGCACGGTCCTAAGAGGTCCAGACGGCAACAGCAAAGGTAGGAACCATTATACAACTGTCAACATTATTTAGGTCACTGACAGACAATCGACTGGTGTGTGTGTGTATATCTTAGTGTGTGTGTCTGCCTCCATCAGCAAAACTGCATATTACACATGACAAATGCATCAGATATAGGTCAAATAACATGTTGACTTCATTCTGAATATTTGAACTGATCTGAAAATATCCTGATGCAGCTCAGTAATCCAGGTAGAAAAAATCAAAAAGAAAAAAATAAGTAGGTCYTCTGGAYGGGTTCTTCTTTAGTGAAACGTTTCGTCTCTCCTCCAAGAGACTTCTTCARTCTGATGAGTTTCAGGTGAACTCAGCCTTATAAGCACTGCCTCCACATGGTGGACAAACAGGTTAGTCACATGCAAAAGTGGGCCATCGCCTAACAGTAGGCTTAATTAGCTCTATTGTTCATAGAGGGTCGTGTGCCCCACCACCTGACTTATTGGTTTGGATGTTTCGGCTGTGAYTCTTTGGTGTCGTGTTATGTGTATGTAGTGAGTGCAGGCGGGGCTCGACGTCCCCTTTTTTTGTCTTTTTTTTTTCGTTTCCTTCTTTGTGTTGGTTATTGTTGGGCCCTGATTCACACCATAAATGTGAATCATGGCCCTTTTTTGCATGTCACTGAATAGAGCTAATCAAGCCTATTGTTAGGCGATGGCCCTCTTTTGCATGTGACTAACCTGTTTGTCCANGACTAAAACCCGACTAAAACCATTAAATATAGAAATGACTAAAACCCGACTAAAACCATTAAATATAGAAATGACTAAAACTGACTAAAACTAAGAAGTATTTTTGTTCAAAAGACTAAGACTAAGACTAAAATTAAAATGGCTGTCAAAAACAACATTGCTTGGAGGAGAGACGAAACGTTTCACTAAAGAAGAACCCATCCAGAGGACCTACTTATTTTTTTTCTTTTTGATCTAAAATTATTTCTTGTCTTTTTAGGTTTGTTTTGTTTTGTCTTGTATTTGATTTTTAATTATAGCTCTTTGTACTTTTTAACGACACAAAATAATTAACATTTTATTAGATTCACTGGTTGCTTGTAGGACATGTACAGGATGTTTTGGGGTAGATTTATAATTAGCACCAAAGGCCAAACAACTAATGAGGTCAGCTAKTTCCTAAAAGTAGTTTACATATTCTGAAAAGATTACCTAGCCTTTTAAAGAAATCCAACCTCTATAACGTGCAAAAAATATGTTTTTTGTGTCATTTGTCTGGTCAGTGCTATTAGAAACTGTTGTGAAATTACATCTTGAGGGTCTGAAAYTCTGATTTAAGCATGGTTTGGAGCTTAACAGAAACAATGTCAAAAACATTTAAAATGTCCTCACTGTAAGGATGGAAAAAGCCAATCAGCTTTCTTTGTTGTTCTCTAATATTTGTTYTTACCTGAGGTAGTTTCTCACCAGACTTTATTACTCTCTGAACAATACAGAACTTTTTGTTAAAGTTGTTAAAGCTAAACTTTTTTTAAGCTCATTACATTTCATACTGTTTTATCAATAGTTCTTATTGTGAAAAAACTAACACAAGTGGTCTTGAACAAACTTTATTTCATTCTAATTTTGAACAATTTTGATCACTTAATACCTACAAAAAAGCAGTTTTCAATAAATACTGTAGATTTGTTTTGTTTTTGAACATTTTACTTTCACTTAGCTGAAATTTAAAACGAAATTTTCTAGGATGAAACAGAAATAAATTGACAATAGTTTGAYCACAAAGCCTGTGTTGTTGATTATACCAGTTTGTGATTCTGCACAGCTGAAGGATTTATCACAACATAGACTGAATGTACCAACTATCCACAGTCTACTCTTCATGTCTSCGGTGTCACCTCAACTGTAAAGACTGTATGATGTGATTGTTTGTTTGGTAATATCTTATACCTTATACCAGGCACCTGATTGGCAGCACTTGGGGGTACCAGAAGCTCAAAACAAGTGTAAATAGTAACAACAAAAAAAGCTGTTTGTCAGAAAAGATTTGGCAAATGTTTCATGTGTGCAACCCACATACTCAGCTGCACTGCTCATTACACAAATGCATGTTCCTTACAAATCTGGCACCATTTAAAAGGAAATTTAACAGGCTTTTCAGTGGTAATATATATATATAAGATTTATTACCATGAAGTATTGAAGCAACAAAGAAATAATCTACAAAACACAAATTCCCTTAATGTTTGTGCTTAGTTTATACATTGGGCAACACTGGAGAAACAGTGGGGTTTGAACCAACAGTGTCCCAGTGAAGAATGTCCGCTGCAGCTCTTGAGCTACAGCCACCTCAGCAAGGTCAAGACAATACATGACTTGCAGAATATATTAAGATGTGAAAGCCTAATTATAGCAGAACATGGTACTATTGTAGAAGAGACCTTGTACAGGTCATCAGGAGCCCCTGCTCTGTCCCACTTGTATCTGAGCAGCGGGCAGGGCTTTGGCAGCTGAATGGACATCTTGATCAGTTGCTGTCCAAGGGGACGAGCCCATTAACACAGGAAGAATGGCAGGGTGACTGGGTCAAGCGGGACAAGAGATAAGAAGAATAATGCATGAAAGATTAAATGAAAGGAAATGAACTTTAAATGAAATAAAATTAGGTGAAATAAGGTATAATTATAAGAGGACACGGAGGACCTGTGACTGCTGTTTCACTCTAACTGATATATACTCACTGCTTCTGTCTGTAAAGATGTAGGCATTCTCTTTGGTATTTTGGGTTTAAAGGGAGCATCCCTGAACGACTCAGTCACAAGCAAGGATGGGTGAGATTCACCGATTTGTGAACTGCATGAGCAAATAGTCCAACAGTTTAACAACAACTTTTCTCAGTGTATTTTAGGGATTTCATCATCTACAGTCCATAATATCATCAAAACATTCAGAGAATCYAAGTTAACAACATGTAGACACATTGCCGGATTCTCTGGGCCCAAGCTCACTGGATTCAAGCAAAGAGAAAAAGTGTCCCATTGAAATTGTGTGCTGCATTGTGAAGCAACTGAAAGAATGGGAAAGAATTCCACTTACAAAGCTCCAATAATTAGTGTCCTCAGTTCTCAAAACACTTATTGAGTGTTGTTAAAAGGAAAGGTGGTAAACATGTCCCTGTCCCAGCTTTTTTTGGAACATGTTGCAGACATCAAAACAATTAAAAAACCAACACATTTTCACTCCCAAGTCGTCACATATTGACGCTTTTCCAAGGTTCCCACTGCGTCAGTTTTTTTACACGTCGGGTACCCCCCTCGCATCAGTTATTGATGAGAAGGGGCAGAATCCACTGTCATAATTTCAGAAAGTGTAGAAAATGCACAAAAACTAACAGTACCAAAGCCTAAAATGACCTTTATTCACTCTAGGCATCATGTCCCTGACCCTGGTACCTAAAATTAACCATTTTTATGAAGTGTAGGAAATTCACGTCAGCTACATGTTCCAAAGCCTAAAATTACCTAATATTCACCCTAGACATCCTATCCCTGACCCCACAACCTAAAATTAACCATTAACCCTGATCCCTAATATTAACCACGGACCCCAACTCAAAGACCCCTATATGTTGCTCCCCAACACGTCAAACCCAGACGCCAAGGGAACACAGAAATGCCTGGTGCGTCAAAAACTGATGTGACGGGTGTACTCGACACGTCAAAATAAGACGCAGAGGGAACCTTGGAAAAGCATCAATATGTGATGAGTCGAGAGTGAGAATGTGTCAAACACACACACACACACACACACACACACACACACACACACAAAACCAATAAAGATTATCCATTTGAACATTAAATATCTTGTCTTTCTAGTGTATTCAACTGAAAATAAGTTGAAAAGGACTTGAAAACCATTGTAATCTGTTTTTATTTATGTTTTACAAAACATCCCAACTTCATTGGAATTGGGGTTGTATTTGTATGTGTGCAGCTAACAGCTTCCTATTGGTTCCTTATAAATGTCTCTGGTGTAAAGAGGCCTAAGAAGTCCAGTCATGACACTCGCCTGTTTCCCATTTAACCTGCTCACCTGTGGAATGTTTCAAAAAAGTGTTTTTTTTTTGAGCATTCCTCAACTCCCCCAGTCTTTTGTTGCCCCTGTCTCAGCTTTTTTGGAATGTGTTGCTGGCATCAAATTCAAAATGAGTGAATATTTGCAAAARATAAACCAATAAAGTTTATCTGTTTGAACATTAAATATAATTTCGTTGAACTCAATAGGTTGAAAAGGATTTGCAAATCATCGTATTCTGTTTGAATATTAGTGTTAGACAGTTCTTTTCACTTCACGGTCCTGTTAATTGTCTTTAAGACATTACAGCAAAAARCATTAGTTTTTCTTCACCTCTACAAATATTGACCTAAACATCTAGTTAGAAGAATGATAGATTGTTCTTAAATGTGTTTGCTGTGTGAGACGAGTCTAGTAGTTAATAAAGACAGACAGGCATGTGGTGCTAAATAGTGAGCTTTTCTGCTTCATCAGTGCAATCTTTAGCCTGCAAATTCTGCCTGCTTAATGCCTGGAGTGGAGCAGCTTGCTGTGCAATGAGCACCTCTGACTGAACAGTGATTTCTGCACTGTCAGATATAATTCATTACTTTAAATATTCTCTCAGTGTTTAGGTCTATGCCGTGTGTGTGTGTGTGTGTGTGTGTGTGTGTGTGTGTGTGTGTGTGTGTGTGTGTG